CTAAAAATTGTGATTATATTTTTATCGGTCATTCATTTACTTTACAAATTGGATTATTTGTACTATTAAAATCTGTTGATGAAAGTTATAGACCCGAAATGGTTAAGATTTCTTGACTTGTAAGTATAGCATTCTACTTTGAAAAAGCAGTCGCGATCGACCAAAGAATTGATGTTTCTAGCATGACAGACTAGATTCTTTTATTAAATATGTTCAGCAATTGGAACTAAGGGTCACAAGTAAGTCCTATAGAGATGACAAATGGGTAATCTAGGAGTGAGAGACAAGAAGCTACCTACCATTACTAAACATGCTGACACCAACTTTAGATTAGCTAATGTTCTTTATGCTTGAAATATGTAAAGAATATGTATGCTCCTATTTGTCACAAAACCTCATTTAAGTTCCTGAACATATTGAAATCATATACTAATTATGAATTATTTGTAAGGAAAAAGTGTCTTTTATATATTGTTTAAAATTATTACATTTACTTTTTACTTGCATTTGTAGAATTTTAGTAAACTTAATTTAATCACTATTTATTTATTTATTTTTTATAGTTTAAATTAAAGTTCCTTTAAGGTTAAAAATTCCTGAATTTCATTTCTTTTATTTTAGTTCATAATTCCCAGTGGGATCGGTACTGGGGATTTTATAGAAAATCCTATATCACTTGAAACGATAAATATACCTGCATAGTACCCCTAGTGTGTAAACTAATTTCTAAATTTTATATCATTTTCCATTTTGCACACTAGCCGCTAAATATAATTTCGGTTGAGATTTTGGCATATTAATCAATATAAATATATGCGTAATTACGAGTCGGGTCAATATCATAAATAATATATTCCTTAATTAACTTGGGCTAAGTTAATACTAACAAACTAATGACACATTCTTTTATGTGACTAGCATGGAGGCACAACTCTTAGATATTCAATGACACTTGAGTTTGACAACAATCACCATGCCCATCCATACAATAGAAATAACTTTTGTTGTCTTTAGAAAAAGCTTTAAGAGCCAACTCACATGTGACAATTTTCTTAGAGTAAGTAGGCTGATATTATTATTACTTGTGCAATATTACAAAAATTTTAAGGCGGTTATCATGGTCATTGCCTTACTTTCTCGTAATTTATAATTCACTAATGTTTACTTGTCATCGTAGTAAATAAACCCAAGATTAGGGCTGTCAAAATGACTCGTCGTGTTCGGCCCGTTAAGAAGCTTGTGTTCGGCTCGTTTGCTAAGAAGTTAACGAGCTGAACACGGAACACGAACAAAGATTTGTTCTTTCGTGTTCGACTCGTTTTGGCTCAAAATACTACTCATCAATTATATAAATATATATAGATTGATGAGTAGTATTTTTAAAAAATTTAATTGACTACAAAGCTACAAAGATTTAAAATCTTTTAAAAGTATTAATTTTGAAAATAGAATGAAAATTATTAAATTAGATTCCAATGATGTTTTGATATAAACAACAATTTTTAAATCTTGCCCCAACCCTTAATATCCAATGACTATGCTATTAGAGTTATCAAAACGACTCTTTATTCGTGAACAACTAGTGTTCGGCCTACTATTCAAACGAGTCGAACACGAACACGAGATGTTATTCAAGTTGAATCATTTACCTCACGTAAAGATAAGCAAAGAATAATGACTTAATTAGATTTAAGAGATTTAATTGACGAGCACATTGTTTGCTCTTGCTGATTAATATACTTAAATAATATATTTTAAAACAATTCATAAAATACTTTTATTTTAATTTTATTTAATAGACTGAAATTTTAAAATAAGTTGTCAAAAAAACTTTCAAAATTTAATGGAATATAACTTTTATTATTTCAAATAAGTTTTAAGATTTAAGGTGGTGTATAGCAAGGAAAGAAATTTCAATTAAGTGGAATTTAATAAATCCTATAAATCCGGATTTAATAAATCCGGGAAGACTTCAATCACAACATTGAATGCCGTGGTCTTTTTAAATCCCTCAAACAGTTTGACACTTCTATTAAGATTTAAAAGTTTATTTTTCTGTTATAATAAAAAATATAATTAAATTGTAATTATGTTATTATTATTATTATAATTAAAACAAATTATTAAGTTTTATTAAAAAAAAAGTTATTTTTAATTATGCTGATTAATTATTTACTAAATTAAAAGTTTTAATAAAATATTAACATAAATTAATTAATTAATAATTAATTAGTTATTAGTTATATTACTTTAGAATTATTTTTAATTTTATTAAATAATTTTAATTTTTAAATGTGTTTTTATTACTTAATTAATTATTAAACAAGCATAATTAAAAATAATTAAACTTTTTAATCGACTCTCTCCCATTCTACCTCTCTCGCTGTTATGTTGAATAACACTACGTCTCTGAAAAAAAAAATACGTTCGGAGTCCGGACAGAGAGCTACGTCCGAATGCTAATAAAATGCCTTATTTCCGTGATATTGTGGTGTTATTTGTCTTGTTTTGACGTTATTTTTGCGTAATTGGGTGTAATTTTGATTTTTTTTCTTAATTAAGTTAGTTGATATTCAGTTTCCTTTTTTTAAATAATAAAATTAATTTTCTGTTGTTTTAAAGTTAATTAAAATCTTAAATAATTTCCTTTTCAGGTTTACTTTTAATATTAGATTATTTTTCGATTACCTTTTTTTACTAAGCAAATATTATTTAATATATTTAATTGATTTTCAGCTTTAATTCTTGTTAAATTAATGAATTTAAAATTTGAATTAATCTTCTGTTTATTTTTCTTGTTAGGTAATTCCGTAATTCCAATATTTTAATTAAATCTTCTTTTTTTCCTTTTATTACTATATTTTAATTAAAAATTTGGAATTACTTAATAAAAATATAAACCAAAAATCAATTTAAATATTTTATATATAAGGAAATTTTTTAATATATTCCTTTCATTTTAAATATAAAGAAATAAATATAACAAAATATTTTAATATATTCATTTCATTTTAAATATAAGAAAATAAATATAAAGAAATATTTTAATATATTCATTTTAATATTTAAAATTTAAGAAAATATTTGAAATATAAGGAAATGAATATTTTAAATGAAAGATATTTAATAGGTTACAAATAAATATTTAGAAGTATTTAAAATATATTAATAGGTTACAAATAATAAGGTTACAAATAATAAGGACGTATTTAAAATATTGATTTTTTTAAGAAAATATATATAAGAAAATATTTTAATTGGTTACGAATAAATATTTTTTCTATTTATGCAGAAACCTCCTAATAACACGACATTAATGTCAAAGCCGTCACAATAACACCACATTAATGCCAAAAACAACACAATAACACAAATAACACCATATTAATGCTTAAAATGTTGCAATAACACAGTAAAAGAAAAAAAAAAACACCACAATAGCATCCGAACGAGAATTAGTAGAACATATTAAGAAGCTGTAGCTCTCCTCAAATGAAGGCCTTTAGACTCCAATGTAGACTTCCATTATTTATGTTTTTCCTGAGCTTTATCTCTCGTCTTGCCCAGGAGAAGGATATTATCAGCGAAAAACATACACCAAGTTACATCCTCCTGTAAATGTCCAGTAATTAGTATAAATTGGACTATAAAAGTGATATTTTATTGTACAATGGGAATGTTTAGTTATTTTGGTTTGTATTTTAACTTTTACATTGGGATTTATGAGCTGGCTCAAGAATTAGTAGAACATAATAAGGGTTTGTTTGGGGAGAAAATTTTGCGTACGTCATCCGGGCGCGAAGTATGAACGCGGTACAATGATGAAGTGTTTTTTTTTCACTGGTTCATCCCGTCCGATGTCTAGACGCAGCTCACGTCCGGGCGACATATACAAAATTTTTTCATGTTTGGAGCTGTTGCAGCTTATTAAAAAAATAAATGTGAATATGTTAAAAAATAATCTAATACTAAAAAAATTGTAATAATCACCACATTTTTTTTTGAAAAAAAACTTAATATAACAAAAAAACTGCTACCGCACCTAGCCAAAATCAGTGGGAAGACATATTTTAACAGTTGCTTTTTGAAAAAATTGTCAAATCATAGTTTACACAAACAAACAAAATTGTGATGAGAATTAACACATGCAATACTATAGTTATTTTAGAATTTGTGATGTGACAAATTTAGCTTTATTAATAAAATATTAAATAGCATTTTCTATAATGTTTACTTAAAATATATTTATTTATACTTTTTTAATGCACACAAAATGGAAGTTTTTTTATTCAATGGTGGTACAACTTTTGAACTTGTTAGAACTCTTATTATACCTCATTAAAATTGGGCATTTTTTTTATTTGTATTTTATGTATTTATATATTTAATACTTTTATTTATTTAGATAATATTTAGACATGAAAATAACAAAAAAAAAATATGAATATTTATTGGCTTAAAATAGAGGATATGTATGTACATATCAAATAATTGTTATGTGTATGTTAAGATATTTTTTCATCGCGTGATTTAAAATATTAAATTATTGTATAAATAATTATAACATTGAAATTTAAATATTAGGTATATGTAAATAAGAATTATGCAGAATTTATAAAGGCTACAAATACCCCAATGTAACAAAAAAATATTATATTAGGACTCCGCTCGAGCTCAATGAAATTACGCCATAAAGGTGATCAGCCCGATAACACAAGAAAATATTCTCCTAGTATTATTCAGGTATTATTGTGTGTTATTCATGTGTTATTGTGTGTTATTCAAGTGTTATTGTATATTATTCAAATATTATTGATGTATTTTTGAGTTATCATAATATCGAAAATATTCATAGAACACAATAATACCCGAATAATATATAATCACATTTGAATAACACATAATAATAACTGAATTAAACTAAAAAAATCTTCCATTGTGTTACCCTCTGCAGAGTAATTTCACTGTACTCCCCCTCATCTAATATTTTTTTCAATATAACGAACTTTTTTATAATTTATTTTCCTCCGTTCTCCGCTCTCCGCTTCGCCACAGTTCGTGAAGAATCCCTAAACCCTAGAATGGAGGTAGAAACATCGAGTTCTTCGACGTCGAGCCTCGTTAACAAAGCCGTCGTAAGAAATACCTCTCTGCACGCCATTTTTTTTCTTAGTACGTAGATCTCTTCCTCTTGTCCTTCTTGATTTGACTCATGGTTTGAATTTTTGAATAGCTTCCCGGTGACGTTGCTTTGGACCTTACAAGCTTGTCTGATCAGACAATCAGGCTGGGAGCGGGGTTGCGCCAGGTATTTATCAAGTTATTAGATCAAAATTTTACACTCTTATGTTACGAGCTGCTTTTTAAACTCGCATGTTCTCAGAACTGTGATGTGGTATCAGCTGTGAAGGCTGGGAAGCTTAAGTTCAAAAAGCCAAATAAGTACTGGGTAGAAAGCTCGCAAAAGAGAGTGAGTTATTTTTGAAGTGTTTGGTTTCTTGGAATCTTAATTGTTGGCTGTAAAACGCTCTAAAACTTGTGTTTTCTTGTTGACTGATAAACTACAGAAGAAAAGATAAAAAAAAAAAAAAGAAAGGAAAGAGAAGCATATTCCACCCTTAGTCACACTTCCCATACAAGACGATTTTATTATTTTAGACATTACTATATTGTTCACGAAGTTATCTTTTTGCCATTGCATCGCTTAATACCCTGTCCTGCTTTTATGGGTGACCTTGCAGTATGTTCCCACTGTAGAAGATACAGTTCTTGGTATTGTTGTGGATGCTAGAGCAGATGTAAGCATTTCTCGTGCTCAAGTACTACCTGATATTTTATGTTTATTTTTTAGGGGCATTTACATACATACCACCCAATTTCTATGTATTTACTTATCTAATGCACAAACATTTACCATCTAAATCCTTCACATCATATAAAAGATACCACAATTTTAACTTTTAAAAAGTGAGATATACCTTTTCATGCATAGGTAAGGAAGTAAGTAAAATTTGAAGTTTAGGTATTAGATGGCTAAATACATAGGAATTGAGAGGCATGTATGTAAACATTCCTTTTTTTTAAACCTTTTTTATTTTTGTATATTTCCTCCACCCTGAGTTATGCTGAGCAATCAATTTTGTTTTGACTCTCATGAAAACTGGGTTAGCAGGTTACAATATAGCTATAATTGTAATGGCTGGTAAAACATCTGCCTTGCATATGCTGTTGCAGATTGGGCATCATTTAATCCAGCTTCTGTTTTCTTTTACTGCTGCCGTCGTTTCATCATTCATTTTTTTGCCTTTTGTGATACTACATTTCCCTATTTATGAATCTTAGCAATTAGTTCAATTGTTGGTAATAAGTTTCTCTATCATTGCCATTTTTTTGTTCTGTTTTTCCATGTTAAGTTTGTTGTCCATGAGGTGATTTTTATTTTATTTTTGTGATTTCAGAACTTTCTAGTAGACATAAAAGGCCCAACATTAGCTTTTTTGCCAGTACTTGCATTTGAAGGAGGGACATGAAGAAATATACCAAAATTTGAGGTATCACTATTTTGTAACTTGGTGCTATAATATACTTTCTTGTTGGTTTTTTTACCTTTAAAAATAATTTTCAGTTGTTTGACAATGTTTAATAAATGTTTGGAGCAAAGCTATCCTGCTTTGGATATTGCACTTGTGTTTGTTCAACATTTAGTACTGTACTGCAGAAGTTTGACATTTTAAACTCATTGTGTAATATTTCAATTATTACTAAGGATCTAATGAATGCATTTTGTCATCTGAAAACAATCTTGTGCGTATGTTTTCATATATTTGGTACTAGTCAAGTATTCTTGTGAATTAACATGTTAATTCAGCTGTTTTGGAGTGCAAATTCTATAATAAAACCATTAACATTTACCTTTTTCCATTTTCGTTTTGATACTTTAACTTAAATACTTTTTACATCTTTTATCCTTGATTTTTCATGTTTTTTCTTTTTGTTTGGTCTCAATAAGTGTATTCCCAACAGATGTAATGTAGATTTTTAATATATCTTCTAACTTTGTTTAATATTCATCTTAATTTTTTTATTTTTATCACACTAACTTTGGTTTTCTATTGCTTCTTTGTTTCCTGCTGCCATCATATTAATAGCTTGTCCAATTGTGGCTTTATAAAATATTTCTTTTGATCTCTATGGTATTATCTTACTTTGCAATTTATTTGTAGAATCACTTTAGTTTTTATTTAGTTGTGTGTAGACTTCATGATACTGGAGTTAGGCCCAAACCACTATAGGAAACACAAATATTATTACTGAAAAGAAATAGAGGTTACGATCAGAGATGCTTGGAACTAGGAAATAATAAATACTCAACACGAGCTGAACTAGGGCTAAGGCCGAAGGCGATGGGGCTGCGGTTTAAGGAGAAATAGTGGCTAAAGTGGGTTTGGTAGTGAACGACAGTGAGTTGGAGGTGGTTGGAAGGGGGCAGCATCAAGTAGGTGGGTGGCTGGAAGGGGGCGACATCAATTAGGCATAAAAAGGCTGAAGGAGCTGCAAGCAAACGAGTTTGGGGTGGCTGGAAGAGGCAACAACGAGTTTGGGGTGGTTGGAAAAGGGTGACAGCAGGCGCGAGGCGACAACAACTAGGTGGGGGGAGGGGCGACATCATGCGGGAGGCGGCGATGATCGGATGAAGGGATGTTTTTTTCCAAGTTACATCAAAAACTTTGATGACGGAGGCAACAGAGGAGGGCGGTGGGAGATATGCACCATTTTAGGATGACTTACAACTGGAGTACCTTCTCGCCTTCAGATACAACCCTAGGAAGAAACAAAGAGACGTTGGCGGCAGTCCTGACATAAAAATTATAAAAATTGAATACCTAAGACAAAATAAACACATATATAAGCCCTAGATAACTTGGAACTGGACCCCCCAATGGAAAGGAGGTGCTAATCCATGGTGTAAGGGCCAATCTACCCTCTTGAGTATGGACTTGTTCTGTCCTGACGAAAGAATGCTTGTGATTTTCCCATGACTCCCTCTTCACCCGTACTGGTGCACTTCACTATTGTTTTTCTACACTTGGTTGATTTTAACAACCTTGAATTCATAACAACATCACAATAGGGGCAAGTGACATATTATTCACCTTTCAATTCTATTCATATATCACAATTATTCTATTTGCAAATAGTTCGTGCCATGTTGCTTTGTGGATCTTTTGTAAGCATCTATAGTCCTACAAAAGGATACAATTGTAATTCTAAGTTTAAGTGCAAGTCTTAGCATATATAACGGGGTGTGTACAATAACAAGTAGAAGCTTTTATTCAACTAAGTGGGGTCGGTTGTATGAATCCTTTTAAAAAAATAGGGTAGAAGAATAATTCTATTGGTGTGTGTGTGCATGAGTTTAGTAAGAAAAATGGTTACAACAATAATTCTATAGGGGGGTGTGTGTGTGAGTTTTAAAATAATATTAAAGAGTTTGGTGGAAAGCCAAGAACTCTCAAATCTTCTATATATTTTCACACTTCAATTCGTATATCATCAGGTCCTATAGACTTTTCACCATTAGTTTTTTTTAAAGCCTCATCAATTTTTTTTACTAATGCGGCGGTAAAAATCAAATATTTTATTATTATTAATGATATTAAGATCACTAATGTCAATCATATTTTCTGAAACTTCATTAAAAAGTTTATCAAAATAATTCACTCACCTATGTTGAATTTCCTTTTTAAGGAAAACAATTTTTGATTTTCATACTTTTTTTCTCTTTATTTGGCTAGTTTATACATATAATTTTCACTTTATTTAATATTTAATATATTATAAAGATCACTAAAAACTGAATTTTTAGCTTCACAAATTGTTCTCTTAGATTTTCTATGGGTTTTTTTATATTTTTCTCAATTATCTAAGCTTTCACATTGAAACCAATTTTTATAACATAACTTTTTATTATTTTTTTTTTGCAAATTATTATTCCGCCACAAACTATTTTTATTTATAAAAAATTTTTCTTCTGAATCTCCATGTACATCATTTGCCACTTGTTTAATAGTGTTTATTACTTTATCACACGTAGAATTTGCTTCTTCATAAACATCCCAAATTTTGAAATCTTGAAATTCACTCAAAAATAATTTTAGTTGTCTTTTAGGTGCCCCCATCTAATTCTACGATAATGATTCCTAGTATTCTTTATTTTACGACTCATTATCTTAAAATCTAGAAGTAATAATCGATGTTGGATATTTAAATGGACGATCTCTTCGTCTCATAAGAAAATAATCGATTTGTGTTTTATTAGATCCATTCTTATACCTAATTATATGCGGATCTCTTTTATTGAATAAAGTAATAACAAAATCATACGCTAAAGCAAAATCTTATATGACTCTACCTTTTTAATTAATCACTCCAAAACTGTAGTCACCTTGAATATTTTTAAAATCTTCTACCACTCAACCAACATTTTCATTTAATTCTACTCTAATAAAAATTTTTCTTCAAGAGGTATTCATATGTCCTTTAACATGATAATTTTCTTCCTATATTTTATACTTATTTTTGATGATGTTATAATTTAATAGAAGATATTTTTATGTTTTTTGTTGCAGGTATAATAGGTAAAGCAATTTGAGCGAACTGGAGCGAAAACGGGGCGAAAAGGAGGCAATTGGAGCAGTGGAGCTTAAACCTGAATTGACGCCATGACGTCAACTATAGGCGCTTAGGCGCCGATTCATGTAGAATTGACAGAGAAGGTGGTGTCTAGGCGCCACATATTGGCGCATAGGTGCCAGTTAATTTCTCTAGCCGACAGAGGAGGTGGCGCCTAAACCCTAGGCGCCAGAACTGTCTGGGACAGTTTTGCAGCGGTTTTTCACACGAATGGATGGGTTTTTGTTCAAGGAGGCATAAGAGACGAGAGGAGAGGACATTAGAGTAAGGAAGGAAGAAGAGAGCAGTGTAGGGAAGTGAAGAAAAAGTGAAAAGTTTTTTCTTTTCTTTTCTGTATTTACTTTGAGATTTGTGAGAGGTGTAAGGAATTGCAAGGAGAACACTTTGGGGGGAGATCTTCTTCATTTCTCAAGGAAGAAGATTAGTATCTTGTATTTTCATTGTCGTGTATTGACGTAATTCTTAGTATTTGACTTTGATTTAATATAAGATGTTGTGCTTTGTGGTTTTCTTCATGAAATCTGAGTAGCTTCCTTGTTTGCTTTCTTTTGTGATGAAATAACAACATGTGTAGAAGTAGATTAAATTAGAATCATGTTAATTCAATGATTGCGAAGGTTTTTTCATTTGAACTTCATTTGCATTGCAATTTGGCCAATTGTAGTGTTAAAATTCATTGTGAACCCATAAGATATGGGAGGTTATGACTTCAATCAACTCGTGAAAACCACACTAATCTTTAGGGTGAAGAAAAAATAATCTTTAGGTTAGTGCAAATAGATAGGGAGCTGATTTTAGCGTGGATAACTAGAAGGTTTCTCGGGTGACAGACAGACAAACCCTAAGTTAACCGAGTTTTTTTGTTCACTTGGAAAAGGTTAAAGATAATACATGCTCCTATTTGTCGCATGTTAATTTAGGAAGTTTAGTTGATTTACACCTACATTAGCTATTATTTTTATTACAAGGGGAGGAACCTCTAAAATAGCTTGCACTTTCCATCTCATTTAACTTTATGTATTTAGCTTATTAGAAAACTTAGAGGAGTAGAAGTAGTTTGGTAGAATTTCTAGCTCACAACTATAAATCAAACCTATTTCCTAAATAAGATTCTTTAAATTCAGCTAGAGCCTTTCTTAAGTCCGTAAACTTTACAGCATTTCTCGTGGGATCGATACTCGGGACTAAAGAAAATTCTATATTACTTGAGCGATACGTGCACTTGCATTTATACCTCTTGAACAGTGATATTGAGTGGAAAAGTAAGTTATAAAATATATTTTCAAAATTATAGTATTTAAACCCTAAATTGCTGGTTATACCATTGAGAAAGTAGCGGTCATGTATCATTTGTTTTAAGTCTTCAAGGTCATTTTAGAAATTATCTATAGAACTTATATCTAAACCTATTTGAAGAGCGTAAGCATTTATAATATTAAATACCTTAATATCAACCATAATCTTAAAGGCTATAATTCTATTTTCAATTCTATTAATTTTTACAACATAATCTCTCAAACTCTTATATATAATTACACCTTCACCATTTCTAGTGCGACTCTTACCTGAATGCTAAAGTTTAAAACCTAAGTTATCAATCTCCTTAGCATTTTCTCCTACCCATTTAGTTTCTTGAATACATAAGATATTTATATTTCTATGAATCATAATATCAGCTAATTCCATTAATTTATCTGTGAGAGTACTTATATTCCAATATTCTGTACTAATATTATTTTCATGGGCTAATTTCCTTACCTGCATCCATTCGTAATGTGGGAACATTTGCTTATTTAAGACTACACCGGACGCCAGTGTAGCAGCTCTTGCAAAATGTGCACTCAGAACCCGCATATTG